GAAGTTCGAATATATACGTATATAGTATATGTTATAAACGCATGGAGGGAAAGAGAAAACGTTTATCTAGGAATCATAAAAATCTCTTGTTAAGGTTATAAATTTTTGTACTCTTCCTATTACGGAAAGATGAAGGTTTTTATTTATGATCGCACAGAAATAAAAAAAAAAAATCTGAGGAAAGAAAACAATTTGATCCTATAAATTTAATGTTGTATATTTTTACAAGGAAATAGATCGATCGCGTAATAAAAAGAAACGTTGACGTTAATGGTGTCAAAGACGTGCTTTCTTGTGAAAGTATTCATATACGAAAATTTATTATTGCCAAGTGTTTTAATAACGTATTAGAGAAATATTTGAAGAATGGTTTATAATAAAAGAAGTAAAAACGAAAAAAAAGAGAAATCAACGTCGACAAGACTGTGAAACATAGCCATAAAAAAAAAAAAAAAAAAATACGTGCAAGATATTATTTCCGGATCTCTCGTGAAACAAAGAATTCTTTCTTTCCCCTGGTAAAAAAAAAACTACAATAGCTTTGAAAACGATGTTTCTTCAATCGGCAGATCGATAACGATCTGTTGCAATTATTCTTATCATTCGTTCCAATGTGTACAGGAATTGATCTTCGAGTTACAATGTAGCAAATAATTTTATACACCTTCGACGCTCAGAATGTTATTCCCTTTGTCCAACTTCATCCGTTCACGTAAAGTCGCACAGATGTATTATCCTCAAATACGACTGAAGCTGAGATCGTACATTCTAACGCCATATAAATTGGTTAAAATCGCTCGTCCTTTTGTCACTTTTTTAATACGTGTAAACTCGCGGTCAAGTGAATTGTATTCATTCGAGACATGTTTCTATATCCAGTGGTTATAAATTTCCAACTCTACAATATCGTGCGAACTGACACGAGTTATGAAGACATTGTATAATTGTTTTTCTTTATTTATTTTTTTTCCTTTTATATATATAATATATGTATATACATATATATGTATATATTTCGTTATGAACATATTTGTAAGGATACCTTTAGCATAGAGGACAAAGCAATTTCGCACCTGTTAAAATCTTGCAAGGAATACCATATTGCGTTTTTTGGAAAAATGTAAAGAAAAAAAAAAAAAAAAAAAGTAAAGAACACTGTCGATCCAACTCGTGTCTGTCAATGAGGACAATAAGCCGCGTCGACATCGAGACACGACGGTAGAACATTCTAGCGGAAAGTTCATAAATACTTCGACAACGCGTTTGTACAAAGGTGTATTAATACAGTTTGAAAAGTCCACCGTGATCGATCACGGTTGATCAAGTGTTCTCGGTGGTTCTTCCAACGGAACACAGGAAACGAAAGTTGAATAAACGAAAAAGATGCTGCTTCTCAGCATAAGTACACATTTTCCTATATGTGCAAGTATGTGTAATACGTTTCGGCTAAGCCTTGCACTTTTCTGACGAAATCACAATAACACTACCAGATCTAACGATACGATTTTTCGACGACATTTCTCGGAGATTCTTCAAACTTTCGCAACCAAGGTTTTTGCAATTCATGCTGCTCGAGACTCTCAGACATGCTTCGTGTCCTTTTGACTGATAATTCTGACTGTTTTTTTTATTCACGTTGGACTTTGTATCCTTGATCTTACATCCGATGAAGCTGTGTAACTGCGCAATAGGAATAAAAATTGCGAATTACTTTACGAAAGGACACGGGAGAAGCCTCCAACGGTATTATCAACTATAAAATATCTTTGTACTAGATCAATTGCCAATTCATACGTTCGAATGGAGTGTAACACGATCATGAAAAGGATAAGATTGATTTCTCAACGCATAAATATATTTTTTCTTTTCTTCTTTCTTTCCACGCAAACGTTCAACAAATACAATAGGGTTGCGCACAGGTGCAATACGCAACGGGTCAAACTACCCCCTTTCTGAAACAAACGTTTTTCTTTTTCTGTTTCTTTTTTTTTTTTT